CAGGATCTCATTTATCGTTTTGTTTCTAGTACTTGGCAGGAGCAGGTATATAGTAGGCCCACCAGAAATTTTTGCTGAATTAATGACAGTAAGATGAATGAATGGATGATGGATGAATTATTGAGTGCATGGATGGAAGAGTGGATGGATGGATAGATGAGTAGGAGGGTTTGTGGATTAGATGAATGGATGGACTGATGGATTGCTGAGTGGATGGATGGATGGATGGGATGGATGGATTTATGGATGGATGTGTGAGTGAGTTCGTTTATGGGATAGATGGATGGATAAATAGATTGCTAGATAAATTAATAAATGGGTGGATGGTTTTATGAGTGAAACTAGATGGATGAGCAGCTAGTCAAATGGACAGTTAGATATACAACCTAGTTCTGTTTAAATGGTATGGAACAAAAAGAAACTGTGCCTGAAGTCAGTCTGCTGAAAAGAAGTTTCCTCAGCATGTGATTTATGAAGTTTAGGGTGGTTGTTTTTTCTAAGCACAGCTGTCTTTCTGCTCAGGATTTTTGATCCCAGGCAATCAGTTACTTGCAATATCACTTAACCTTTGTAAATTAAGACCTTCAGTAAATTTTATTTCAGCCTTAGAGGAAAGACACATGCATACTGTGCATTTTGGTCACAAAGTAAAAAAGTGTGATCCTTGTCCTGCAAAACTTTGCAATTTAATTAGTAAAAGATGGTCATAAATATAATCTTGTTAGTTACCATCTTTCTGGTAACTTGTAACTGGATCAGGGATGGCATTGTCATTGCCAAGATAAGTCTGAAAAACACTACTTGGGTGAGTTTTTAAGATGAAGAAGAAAGTGTGCTGTCATGAGGAGGAAGGATTCCAGGAAGAGATGAATCCTGAATGTGGAGAACACCAGAGTCAGAGAATCTGTAAAATTGAGTGCTGACTTGGGACCAAACAGGAAGTGTCTCTTGACACTTAGGAAAACACTGGCTCAAGAGGGAGGCATTGATCAAAAGATAAGCAACACCTTTGACCTGGTGAGGAATCACCAAACTCTTCAATCAAAAATGAAAATAATAATCATACTTGCTCTACAGGTAGGATTAAAGACAGAAGAAGTGTGCCATATCAGTTCCTGACTCACTGTATTGCTCAAGAAAATCTGTTTTCTCTCTTCCTCGGGTGAAGAACAGGTTAGTGGCAGAGAGCAAAAGCTTTAAAACCTTCTTGCTTAAGTTCAAATCCAGTTAGTATGTATGTTAACTTATGTATGCTGCTTAACTTCCCTGGCTTCTGTTTCCTCATCTGAAAAATGGAGATGTCCTATCTATTAGGAAAGTTGAACACATAAGGCACAATATGTTTAACAACCAAAAACAATGCCTGGCACACAGTAAGTGTGTTCCTTTTAAAATTGGGAAAGGTGTGTCAGGGTTGTAGCTGTACACCATATTATTGAATCTGAAAATTTAGCAAATAATCTAAGAAGCTGAACTATATAAAGAAGAGCACAGCATCAGGATTGGAAGAAGGCTCATTAAAACTTGAAATATGCAGATGACACAACCTGCTTGCTGAAGCACCTAATGATGAAGATCAAAGACTGTAGACTAAAGTATGGATTACACCTCAACATGAAGAAAAAAAATATCCTCACAACTGGGCCAATAAGCAACATCATGATGAGCATCTAGAAGACTGAAGCTGTCACAATTTCATTTTACTTGGATCCACAGTCAACACACATGGAAAAAGCAGTCAGGAAACCAAAGAGCATATTTAAAGTGTTAAAAGGCATACATGTCACCTTAAAGACATTTCTGACCCAAGCCATGGTGTACATATGAAAGCTGGATAATAAGTAAGGAATAATGAAGAATTAATACCTTTGAATTATGGTGTTTATAAAGAATATTAGATATACTTGGCTTGCTAGAAGACTGAACAAATCTGTCATGGAAGAAGTACAGTGGGAATGTTACTTAGCAATGAGAATGACAAGGCTTTGTCTCATATGCTTTGGACATATTATCAGGAGGGACCAGTCTCTGGAAAAGGACAACATGCTTGGTAGAGGATCAACTAAAAAGAGACGGGTTCTCAATGAGAAGGACTGTCATAGTGAGTTCAAACATAGCAATGACTGTCAAGATGGTGTAGGCCTGGGTTGTGCTTTGCTATGTTATGCATAAGGTTTCTATGATGAAGAACCAACTCAACGGTACCTAGCAAAACCAGCATTAACATGCTGTACTTCTTGTGTGAGATCAAGTCAGTTCGGACTCAGCGATCCTGTACAGGGTTTCCAAGGAGTGACTGGTGACACTGAGGTGCTGTATAACTCACATAAAATAATTTCTATATTATAAATAATTTTTACATAACAGACTAATAGAGTCTACTATTATTATATAGTATTATATAGTCTACTACTAAAGTCCACAATGACACTTGAGAATATGTTATTATTGTCCCTAACCTAGAGATGGAAAAACAGACTCAGAGATGTTTAGTGACTTGCTCAAGGCCATCTAGTTAGTTAGTGGTGGTGGTGGGATGCTAAGACTCGTATCTTCACTATTCAAAGCTCTCAGTCATCTGTGACATTCACTTTGGTGTGTAGGTCAGGAAGCAGAAGTCCAGAGGATGCACCAACTTGCCAAATATGCCACATCAAGCAAGTGAAAACACTGGTATCAGAACTCTAGCATCTTGGTTCTCAGCCTAGTATTCTTGGTAATATGGTGAGCAGAGGTGCCTTAGCTCTTTATCAAATGGATGCTGAATGTCTGTTCCCAAGGAATCCTTTTTTTAGGCACAGGACTGGAAGGACAGCATTGAAGAAGAATCTCCTTTAAGGGCCAATCTATATGACTTGGTAACGTGGGTTTAATGACTTGCTCTTTCAATATCTAATCATCAGTTCCAAGTTCCTTGCCATCTTTCATCCTGTAGGACCACTGTTCATTCATTTCAAGATATTGAATTGTCTGGATGTCCAGATTTTGTTGCACCATGGCTCAGTTTTTCCAAGATCAACCTTCAAAGGAGACTTGGAGCTGCTCTTCTGCCAAGACTTCTTGTCTCTCAGTCACTTTGGCTCTGAGGCTTTAGGATTGGGCTCTACTGATAAATGAAGGAAATCCTAGAGATAACTGCTGCCTGAGGAACTTTAGCCACATTCTACTTGGCAGGGGGAAATTGGGGGCTTTGAGGATATAGTCCCATCTCTGTGGATAACAAAAATTGTATCTTCCTGTGCCAAGCAAACTGGATAATAGTTGCAATTAGCCAAATAACTCAGGAGGGAAGGGAACTATTCTTGCCTACTCAAATGAATTGGGGACCTGAATTATTCAGCAATTTTTCTGGATCTACAAATGTATCACTTATTGTCAGAGTAGCTCAGTCTGATGTGAAATAAAAGCTTTCCTATTTAGTTTCCTATAAAATAAGAAAAGTTATAACAAAGAGAATATCATGGACTTATTTGAATTTTGTATTGCTCAGAAGCTCAGAGATAGAAGGGACATTAGAAAGAGATTGAAGCCAGTGATTTTTTTTTTTTTTTTCAAACTTCTATTTAGACAGAGGAAATCTTTGTCATGTGAAATCTTAAATTGAAACTCCAATTTATAAACTAGACAAAAATGAAGACTCTGGCTATGGTAGAAGGTGGCGGACCAGCATCCCTATCTGCCTGCCTTCTCTTCTCACCATTACAAAGAGGCTGTGCTAAAGAGTCTTGGGATTATTGTAAACACAGTTTTCAATCTACTGATCCAGTTCAACCTACCAGACGAACAGATGAGGAAAGGGAGGTGCAGAATTTATTCTACTCAGAATTTGTTCACATGAAGTTGGTACTTCTGCCTCTCTCATGAGGACATTTAAATTTTGTTCTTGGGGTCCACTGCTATGTAACAAATTACCCTGGAACTTAGTGGTTTAAAAGAATGCCATTATTTTTTTCATATAAATCTGCGTTTTGCACCAGACTTAAAGGAATGACTTGTCTCTGTTCTATGGTGTTAGGAGTTTCAGCTGGGATAGCTTAGAGTTTGGAGCAGGCTGGGCATCTCTTTGTCTTCATGACATCTCAAGATCTTCCATGAGATTTCTCCACATGGTCTCTTCAGCATAACAGGCTGAGAATAGTTGGATTTCTTACATGGAGGGACAGGGTTCCAAAAGCAAGAGTTCTAAGAAGTCTGGACAGAGCTGCAAAGCTTCGTTTTGACTTATCCTAGAAAGCTCCAGGTCTTAACTCCTACCACATCGTTTTGTAGACATAGTGTGGGAAGGCACTACACACAGGCATGAATGCTGGAAGAGAGAAGTCATTGGTGAGAGGGAAGCATCTTGGAAGCTGGCTACACAATTTCCTTACTCTTGTCATGAGCCTGTTTAAATAAATTTTTGTTAAGATTTGGCCAGAAATAGAAAAAACAGAGCAGTCATTATGATTTTCCTTATATCGCAGGAGCACTGTCATGTGGTTCTATGAGGCCCCAGAAAGCTGATCCAAGAATATAGTTTGACCACAAAGAAGAGCTTTCAAAGGAATCCATCAACATAAGATTTGGTTACTCTTGGGAAGCAGCATGTTTACCCATTATAAGAGAAGTCTCTCATTTCTTTTATTGCTGGGAAGTATCCAATTGTCAGTGAATATGATTCACAGAGAAGCTTGTGACCCCTTGAGTTTGCTATTGTTGGTTGTCGTTGTGTTGATTTCAACTCATAGTAACCCTATGAATGCAGGGTAAAACTGCTGTACAGGATTTTCAAGGCTGTGAGCTTTCAGAAGCAGATCACCAGGCACCGTTTTGTCAGAAGTTGAGCGCTTGACTATTTGTGTCACCCAGGGACATCTCTACCCCAACAAAGGAGCGATGCTGAAATACTATGTGCATTTCTAAGAATCAAGATTTCAGATAAATCTAATTCTTGTTTGTTTGTCTTTTCTTTTCCCCCCTTTTTGGACATTTCCTTCATCTGACTGCCCATCAATATATAGAAGAAATGCTTATTCCTACTCCTATTACTTGTAAGTATCGAGCTGGGGTTAACTTTACTTTGTGCCCTGTAAGGGAACCTGTAGCATGCATTTCCTGCACCAACCAAGTGTCTGTTGGTTTCTCATATGCACTTTTGTCTAAGTCATCTGTAGCCTAAAAGTATTTATTTTGGGAAGATGTTTTCCATTTGAAAATTCACTGTCATCGTTCATGTCTGTTGCATTTCCGCCATCTTGGTCTGTTTCACCTTTGTGAGGATATTCTTCTGGTTAGGAATCTCCCAATTCTAGCACAACATCTCCCCCTGCAGATTCACACACAATAGAATCACAGATCTCAGTGATTTCTGGGTCCATTGGCTATTTTTACTAGTTCAGAAAGTCTACAGGAACTCATGGCTTTATCTAGAACCAACTTCACAAATGACAAAAACATCCAAGTTCTATTGCTTTTGGCCGGAATGATCTGTTTGGTATTTAATACAAGTTACCTTAGCTGTGCTGTGAGTGCAATTTGGTGGACATGATAGATGGCTGATTGGCTATCATTTTTTTCACGTACTACATCAAGGTGATTATTTTTCACATAACCACATCAGACATTTTCGAAACATGCGGGTAAAGGAGAAAACACCATAAAATAGGATAGTGATGATTAAAAGTTAGAAAACTACAGAATCAGCTCCACATTTATAAGAGATTTTTCATCTTTGGAAATTGAGGCCCAGAAAAGTTCTGTGAACTCATCACCTACTCAGGATGAAAACTTGGAACAACTCTTCCAGTAGAATGTATCACCCACCATTGCATGCCCACCCCCATCCTTGGAGAGCCCAGTCTCTGGGAGAGGACATATCTGTCAGTGTTCATCTTCTGAGACCTTCACAGGTGAAGAAAGAATCAGCAAAAGATTGTATCATCCCCTCTGCTCAGTGCTTGGGCCCAAAGGTCTATAGGCCTAAACAATGAGCAGAGAAGATTCTGGTACCCCAATCTTCATGTTATGGATTCCCACCACAGAGCTAGAGAACTTGCTTCCTTTGTTCATTCATTCATTTGACAGGCATGCATTGACCATGTCCATTATGTTCCAGACACTGTGAATGGAGAGATGACTAGAACTTTCAGCCAGTCCTCATGGTACTCAAGCCTATCAGAGACAAGCATAAAGTCAAATAATTGAAGTATTGGCTGATAGGTACCACACTGTGTTATAGGAGTAGTTTGTTGGGTGACTAACATTTTAATAGAGTAGAGGATAGTGTATTTAGAGAGGGCTTGTCCCAATACTGGAAAAATAAGAATTCTAAGCAGAGGAAACAGATCTGCAAAGGCATGGGGATGTGAAAAGCTATGTCATGCTGTTCATGTGATGAAAAGAGAGTGAGATTTAGGGGTCATGGAGCCTTGAGTTCAGTTCCATCTCCAGTACTCACCTGCTATGAAGCATTGAGCAAATTTTCTAGACTCTTTGAAACTCATTTCTCTTCATTCCAAGATAAGAGTAATAGTGCCCAAGTCCTAGCCTTACTTGGAGAGGCATTGTGGTCATTTTATACAGTGCCTGGTACAGAGTTGACACTCATGAAATGTCAGCTTTATTTCCTTTCCCTTTTCAGAAACCATAAAGGGTTAGGGCAGTAGAAGTGGCCCCTGGGAGCTCTCTGGTCTGCTAGGGAGTCTTACTTTATCAGTGTCCACAGTAGGTGTGGACATGTGAAGGAGGGGCAGGAACAGACCTGTAGGGAGAGAATCTCAGTTAGCGTCCTGGCTCTGCTGCCTATACACCACAAAGTCTTCAGCAAATGGTTTAACCTTCAAGAGTACCACTTTTAGGCCCAAGCAACTTGTTGCCATTTGGATGTTCCTCTGATTGCATTCTCCACACCACAAGACAAGAAGTCTATGGAGCCAAGTGAGTGGTGTCTTCCTTCTAGGTCATTGTCTGAGTATCCAGGACCCTATAAGACCAAGTTTAAATAGCAATAAGCCTGCATTCAGGCTTTTGGGTCCCAGATGTGGCTGAGGGTAAGCTGTTGGCAGCGGTATATGCAAAGAACTAGAGCAGAAGGATGGAGTTTGCACATGCCTGTGTGCTTAGGGTGAGAGAGAAGGGAGACAGGCCACAGTCCAGGGTCATCCTACACTACACAGATTTTAGGGGTCTGAAACCCAGTTCCTGAAAAAAAGGGGGATGTGCCACTTGGACCCATTTTATGGGCAATAATGACCATGAGGAGGTCAGAGGTGCCAGAATTATGAGAGATTTGACAGCCTTTGTAGAAGCATCAGGAGACCATAGGATGCAAAACTAAAATGGAGAAGCCAGAGTCCCCGGGTATGATCATTTCTGTGGGCTGATTTGAGTTCCTATCCCTGCCTCCTGACTGCAGATGCTAATTTTCCCAAGGCTGATGCAGCCATAGCTAATTTCTAGAACCCGTTTGATCCAATCTTACAAACTAGGATTCAACAGCCTTCATTCTTTCACTCATCAAATGTGAAGTGAATCCTTTCTCTCTGCCTAGCATTAAGCCAGGCCCTGGAGAGAGAGCATAAACCTAGTCTCCATGGCCTGGGTTCTGTTGAAGCTTACATTCAAATGGTGTGAATAGGTCAGAATTAAGTGAACGAGTGAATAAGGTACATACAGACCATGATACATGCCCTGAAGGAAATGGAATCCCATTGGACTTGTGCTGCCTTGACAACTGGTGCACATTTGGAGTTCTAGGTCACAGGTCCCCAGAGAGTGAAACTCATGTTTGCAATGAAGTGCAAGGAAACTCATGTTTGCAATGAAGATAGGATGCGTAGCATCATCTAGACAGGAAGTGGGTAGGGACGACAGCCATCACATGCCCAGTGTTTTGTACACATATTCACTCACTGAGTTCTCAAGATCTGGTCAGTACCACTATCCCTGTTGAATGGGGAGGAAAGGAGTTTACAGAAGGTAGTTCATTCTCCCAAGAGCCACCCAGCAGTGGGTAAGAGGAAGAATGGATTATCTTGGAAATAGACACTTCGAGGAAGGGAAGTGGTTTGGAGCTAACAGGATGCAAATGGCTCTAGATATATTGGACTGAGAGTGCTTGTGGGGCTGCCCAAAAAGTATCCTTGAGATGACACTCCAGGTGAGAACTTGAAGATTTAGAGGTAGACTTTGGGAGTGAGTAGACAATTGGAGTCTTTCTCGGAGAGGTGGAAGGTAGGAGTGTGGGCTGGAAGAAACCAGGCCTGGGCAAAGAGTAAAAGGAGCTCAGCGGACTACGGTGTGAGGTCCCGGAACTGACAATGGTTAATGACTCACAGGAGGAGAGGACTTGGCCAAGCTAATAGAGTGGGAGGAGGAGAGCTGTAAGAGCCATGGTGGAAGGAGGAATCCATTTGCAGGTGCTGCAGAGGGATGGAAGTGGAGGCTTTGGGCAAGGCCCTGGCCTCGAACCATCAGAGGTCACTTAAGCAGGTCAGAGGGTGAGGAGGAACAAGCCAGTCTGAATGGAGGCCAGGAGGAAGATCACCCTTTTTAAGCTATTGAGTCCTGAAAGAGAGGAGAAACATGACAATGGTGACTTGAAAAGCCAGGAAGTCCCAGGCACATGTATCCGGACAGTGTACAAACTTGTGTAGGAAGAACATACTGAAGATGCTGGAGCTGGAGGTGACTATGGAAAGGGTCTGGAGGCAAAGTGTTTAGGGACAGGGAACAGCCTAGGAGAAGTGGGAGGGCAGGTCTTGTGAACCATAGGACTTCGATTAGGACATAGATATGAAAGAGAAGAAACAAAAAGGATGGTCCTCCTGGTCTCCAGATTCAAAGCTCCACTCATCCATGTGCTGAGTATGAATCCTGAGTAGCTGTCTTTAATCCTCACCACTCAAAGTCCTGGGGTGGCACTGTGGGCTAATGTGTCAAACTGCAAAGTTGTTTGAACTGCAAAGTCGGTGGTTCTAGCTCACCAGTTGTTCTTTGGAAACCCTATGCAGGGTTGCCATGGGTGGGAATTAGCTCGACATCACTTAACAACAGCACTCAAAGTGTAGGGAGCCCTGGTAGCATTGTGGTTGCATGTTGAGCTGCTAACCACAAGGTCAGCAATATGAATCTAATCTACCAGCCACTCCATGGGAGAAAGATAAGGCTTCCTACTCCTGTAAAGACTTATTACCTCAGAAGCCCTACACCAGGATGCTATGAGTCAGAATCAACTCGATGGAACACCACCACCAGCACCACCACTCCAAATGTGATCCTTGGATCAGCAGCACTAGCTAGCATCCCCTGTGAGCTCCTTAGAAAACAGCCTCTCAGACTCCATGGAGATCTCCTGAGTCAGAATCTGCACTGGAACAAGATCTCCTGGTGATTCCTGCACACGTGAAAGTTTGAGAAGCCCTACCTTCATCTGGGTAGCGTAGTGGTTACGAATCAGGCTGCAAACTGCAAGGTCAGCAGTTCGAAACTACCAGCTGTTCTGCGGGAGAAAGATGAGTCTTTCTGCTCCCGTAAAGATTTACAGCCTCGGAAACCCCGTACAGGGTCATTATGAGTCGGAACCGACTCCACGGCACATAACAACAACAACAACCTTAATCTGAGTCTCAGTTGTGACATCCATAAAGTAGAAAAGATCACACCCTCTTTGAGCCACCTGGTCCTTCTCAAAGTCCCAAAAGTGTTCATGAAAGTGAAAGCTCATTGTGACTGAACAATCTTTCCAGTGAAGGTCCCTGTTTATTCATTTAATACTTATGGTAATCACACTTTAGCGCAACCACTGTGGAAATAGCAAACTCCCTTAATCCCATAGAGTTTTTAAGTCAGAAAGAGAGAAAATAAACAAGATGTAAAGGAGAGTAAGTAGTATGCTATGTAATGATCTGAGTTAAGGAGAGGAAAGCAAATAAATCAGAGAAAGGACACATAAAGTATCAATTTGTGGGAGGAACAAAGGAATTATTTCCATTTTTCCACCAAAACAAAGAGGCCCTGAAGGACTGCATATCATTGAAAGGTCCCCCCTAGA